AACAAACAGATAAGGGGAAAGAGAACAACTCTGTCTCAAACCTCTTCCACTTTGAAAATACCAGCTAGCTCTCCATTAACTTGTACTGAGAATGAAGGAGTAGATATGCAGAACTTGATCGGTTGATCCAATGAATGAATCTAGCCGGAACACCTATGCCTCCAAACACTGCAACACAAAAGACCACTGCACTAAATCAAATGACTTTGAGATATCAATCTTCATCGCACATTTAGGAGAAACAGAGTCTTTGTGATAATCCTTAACCAACTCTGATGCTAGTAACACATTTTCCATCAGAAGTCGTCCTTTTACAAACGCCGATTGGTTCTCAGTAATAATATGTTAAAGAAGCAGCTTAAGTCTATTGGCAATGATTTTGGAAACCACCTTATAGAGAACATTGCAGCAAGCTATATATATGTAGTCTCTCATCTCCAATGAATCTATTTTCTTAGGAATAAGGGCCAAGATTGTTGAATTCACCCCCTTGGGAAGGAAACCATACCTGAAAACGGACTGAATAGCCACTGTGAAGTCATGTGCAAGGATAGGCCATGTAGTTTTAAAGAATCTACTAGGAAAGCCATCTGGACCCGGTGACTTATTTGAAAGCATAGCAAATAAGACCTTGCAAATTTCTTCCTATGTAACGTCTTCTATCGACATACTACAATCCTCTTCAGAACATATAAACTCAAGTATACTCTACAACTCTTCTGTAGTAGTTCCAACATATCTATCAGGAGATTGGTTAAGGAATTCAGAAAAGAACCTCTCAGCTTCCACCTTGATATTTGACTGCTTAGTAGCCATATTTCGATTTAGACATCAAATTTCTCATATATTATTCTGCGCTTGACGAGATCTGATAGTATTGTGGAATGTTTTGTTGTTCTGATCCCATACATCCAGCCAATGAAGTTTCGTTCTCTGCTTAATAAACTCCTCCACTAAACCAGCAACATGAAGCCACTTCTTATAAGCCTCAGATTCCTCCTGAGTATTACTAGAACTTGGATTTGTTAAGGTTTGTTGATGTTTCTCACACAGGTTACCATGCGCTTCCCTAGCTCTTTTCGTTAAGTTTCCAAGTTTCTCTCTACCAATCTCCCTGATAAGTGGCTTCAAGTTCTTCAACTTCTTTGAGAATCTGAACATAGCAGATGAGGAATGATATAGTCTTTGCGTTGAATCCCAATACTCATTTACCATTGGGAGAAAAGTTGCCAAGTTCCCAATTGCGTACTTGAAAGGCCTTCTTTATTTCTCACTAGGAGGGAATATCTGGATCTTACACCTCATATGATCCAAGCAACCTCCTGCTTCAAAGACTGAATAAGAACTTGTGAATCTCCGCAAAGCATCTTCATTCATTAGTACTCGGTCTAGCTTTTTGCAGATTACCCTTTTTCTCTCTTTTATTACACTAGATGAACATAGGACCTTGATAACTCATATATGTAAATTTGCAATGAAGCACCATTCTCTGGAAATCCTCATACCACTTGGTAACCTGCTTAAATTTTCAAACCCCGAACTTTCCTCCACATCTAAAATCTCATTAAAGTCTTCCACAATAACCCAAGCCTTATTATGAAACAAAGCAGAGTCTTGATGATGACAGAGATCTTCCCACAGCCCCTTCATACCTTCAGCTGTATTGTTTGCATAAACACAAGTAAAGAAAAACTCTACCTGTTCTGACAATCCAACTGAATAAGTAATGAGCTGATCAGTTTTGTAGACCGGTGTCATACGAATCACATCACACAAAACTAACCAAATTCTTCCTCCATGATTGTGTTCATAGTTTATCATATAAGACCACTCACTGAACACCTTATTTAGAATATCTTCCGCCTTACTTTCTTTCACCCTTGTCACCAATATAGCTCCAAAACTCATATTATTACTTCTTACCCACTCTTTTAACATAGAATGCTTCAAATCCTTATTAAATCTGCGCACATTCCAGAAGAAGCTCGTCATTATTATGTTTGTGTCGAGAAGACTTTGTGCTCTTCCCTGGATTTTCATCTGGGACCTTAGCATTCCGACCGCTTCTCTTTCTCGCTTGAACTTCCTCTCTTACTTTTTGTTCCAAATTATCATCTTCCATTAGTTCACCCTCTGATATCCTTATCTCCTCATTTACTATCTCTTCAATATCATGCTGATCCTCAGTTACTATTTCACCTTCCTCCTCTTCATCCACACTCATAACTAAGAATTTAGACGCTGATATCAGAACCTCATCTTCTATCTGAGCAGGCGCTGATAACAATCTGCCTTTTTTGCTGGAAAAACCAGAGACCACGCGTTGACCTCCTAACCACTAACAGCTACATGCTATTTTATCTTTGGAACCTCCTTACTAAGATCCTCTCTCTTATCAATCTTCTTCTCACTTATCTCATTTTTTGACGTACTACCTTCGCCTTTCTTACCAATCTTATATGTAACATTCACTTTCAATTTCTCTTCACCCAAAGGACTAGCTGCGCTCACAGTACTATCCTTAGATTTCGTAGGAGAACCATTGACTTCCTTACACTTCTTCCCTTTCCCTTTAGTGCACAAACATATCACTCTATTTATCGCATAACCTACATCTTGCCGGCACCCATGGGTAATAATAGTACATTGTGAACTTCTTACCCTCCTTAGTGAATGTAATATGTTTTGGTAGCACCCTAAAGACATCAACATCCACAAACACTTTAGCTACCTCAAAATTTGTACAAGCAACAGTTTCCGGATGCAACTTGACCAAAAATCCCACTGTACTGGTAACAAACTGAGCCATTCCCATGAATACATATGGAGTGGAACTTTCTCCATGTGCACCCACGTCGGTATTGCTTCCTCTTCTTGTTTCTCCTCCTAAGATATCATAGTCCACTTTGAGACCCAGCTATATTCCACATACCCCGATGAAGAATCTTTTCCCTAGCCTTCTGGCTTGAGACCTTGAACCTCATCGTTGTTGCATTGACTTTATAAACCTCAAACTTTGTAGTAGCATCACCATACCACCATATCTTGTTTAGAATCATGTGGACCTTAGCTACATGAGAAGCAAGATCTAGGAACTTGCCAACCACAAAATCATCCTATAAAGGAGTAGAGTTTTCAAGAATCTCATATGGGATCTCCACCGTGTGAATACCATCCTGATTCGATACTTCTACCTCGTACTTCTTCAACACTTTCTTCGCCTGAGCTACCATAGACCACAAAGCCCCAAAGCCCATTTGAACCCTTTGTTTGGATTTGTTTCTCCTAACCCTTCTCGAAATCGCCTAAATCGTACTGCACATCAACGCCACGAACCTCTTCCTGACCTTCCTCAGCCCTCATTGGAGAGCTTATGAGATCTGGTGGCTTTGCCAAAGCCATTAAATCAAAACCCTAGAGAAGTCGCCTTCAGAGTCGCTTTTCCTCAAAACGGTGCGTTTATCCTTTTCCCGTTTAAATTCAACTAAATATTAACTATTGTTATACATTGTTCATTCACTTTTTAGTATTTGAACTTTGGTTCTAAGAAAGCATATGCATTATGTAGATAAAATATACACACATAGCTATACTTTGGTTTGATTTAACAAGTCACTAAAAGTTTAGAAAAAAAAAGAACAAGTCACGAAAGTTTTTCAAATATGACTTAAGACTTTTAAACTAACCTATTTCTTTTTTTGAAATTTTCATTTGCAATATTTACCCAAAAATTTCAAATTATTCACGAGAATATTATTATTTTACTCAATCATTTTCCATCTTTATCGAGTAACTATTTATTATCATTTTTATTTATACACCAACCACCATTAACAACTATTTTTCTAAATGCACTGCAAATTAAGATATACTCTTTTTATAATCATTTTTTACCCACATAAATTATTTTTCGTTAACTTTCTCTCCAATTTCATCCCAAAATCCAAAATTTTTATTGCAAAATTTGTGAATTTATTGGAATCACTTAAATTCTTGTCTATTGGTCCATAACGGTCGAATATCTTATGTGGTAAAATTATATATACTTGGAAAAGCTAATCAAAGTATCCCATAAATCGCCTAGACAAGAATTGAAGCCCAACATCTTGCTAGGAAACGTGAGTAATAACTCCCAGGATTAACTATTCCAATACAATTCATTTTTAACACTGTGTAAACCCCATTTTATAATCTCTATTACAAATGATGATAAATTAGTAACATATGTGATATTGATGAATAACTTCATGAAGAAATTCTCCCTCTAACATTTGGATCGACAAGTGATTCTGCATGTACGACATCTTCGATAGATATATTCTCTCTACAGCATACGATTACAATTAACGGATATTCTCTCTACAACATACTACAAATAACAGATCTGCGTGCAGCACTCGAAACCTCTAATAAACTTGTATCATATAATTTTCAAAAATTGCTTTCTCTCAGATTAAATATACTCCCCTTTGCTGGTCCGGCTTAAAAACATTTTAGGGTCTTGACAAAATAGCTAAATTTTTTTTTACATATAAATTATGATAATTTAAAACATTTTGGATCCTTATCTTTAATTTTTTAACAATAATGTGGGTTCTGTTCCAATATTTTCCAATACTATTTTTGCATAAAAATATTTTAGATCTTGGGCCCATACATCCTTTGCCACCCTCTTAAGCCGGTTACCCTTTGTCCCCTAGAATTTTGTCATGGTTTGGCAAAATCGCTAAAGATTATTGCCTTTTTGTAAGTAGCTCAGTTAAAACTATTTTGAATTATTTTATGTAATAACGTATTATTGTTTTCAGAAAGCCAAATTTTAATGTACACTAGTTTATATGCTAATGAATTAGTTTTGATTAAAGAAAAATAATCTACACGTCAAACATTCACTTAGTAGAAAAATAAAAGTTCAATATTCAGCAATGATTAAGATTACAAAGGCTTCCGTAGTTTGACATTCTTCGATTAAGAATACTAATTGGATGTAAATGTGTCTATTAATTATCTATGAGATCTCTTGTATTGACGTGTTCATCTATGAACCTTTTATACCAAGAAGCTGATTCCTTCGGTGTTCTTTTAAGAGTTGTATGATCCACGTGAAATAGCCCAAATCGAACCTTGTATCCGGATACCCACTCAAAATTATCTAATAGTGACCATGCGAAATAGCCTTTTACATTTACGCCATCTCTACAATAAGTATTCACAACTTAAACTGGTTCAAAGACTAAATTAAATGTACTAATCAAAGTTCGGAATTATATCGCAACATACTTGAAATAGATTATTTACCTCATTGCTGCTTGTAAAGCTTCCAAGTATCCACTCATGTATTGGATTCTTTTTGTATCATTTAGAAGTTCTTTAACCGTTGTTTCGGGTTTTTGCAAGTCTCCAAAACCTTTAAACATCAAATCTAATGTTCATGAGATTTTCGGAAAACTATTAAGTAGACTTGATCATTTGTTGAATCTTGAGTCTAGTACCATTTTCTGTTATGTATATTGGTATGTCCGGATACCTATTTTTCAGATAATATAGCATCTTTCGGAATCCTTTAGGATCAATATGCTGCCAATTTATGTCTGTCTGTCATTCAAAAAACACACAAAAAGATTTTGTTACTATAACAACAAAACATGTTAAAATATATAGTCGCAAACTGAATGTAGGAAGCTACAACAAATGTTCTCACAAGTTCACCGATGGTGACGTTGCCTGTCCGGCCTAATTTGAGAGCAAATCCTTCGGCTTTAAAAGCTCCAGACCCAGTGTTACAAGAAGATATCAAACAGTCTTGGATGAAGTAACTTGTATAGTGATTGATACCCATAAAATCTATTCTTGAGTTCTTTAAGATATTCATTTCATTGGTCGAAAATCTCGGCAATGCTGGTCCAAGTATATTCACCATTTCTTTTGGATATGTCCCATACATAACGGGATCTAAAATCCTAGTATGTGAAGATACATATATATATAAGACGATAAACTATTGAAATTGAACTAATTATAGATTCATATCTAAGCCTCTCATCGAACATACCAGTTCGAGTAAAATGACTGAGCCCTCTCAGCTGCTTCTTTATCCACAGTGGAATCGCTTACAGGTTCAAACCATGATGTTTGTACAACAATGCCAATGCTTCCGTTTTGTTTATTCTACAAAACATTATATTTACATTGATATGATACACCGAAGTAAGATTATATATGGGTCTATTACCTGATACTTGGTTTGGTATATGTTAACGGCTTTTGCATGTGCGAGGATTGTGTTATGCGCGGCTATGAAAGGCTCGGTTTCTGAATTCCCCTGGCTACAATTTCCATACGGTGAGGAGCAGCGAGCCGGTGGAAAGGTACCGGTTATATAGCCGAAGATTAATTGTTGATTTGGTTCATTTATCGTGGTCCAGTACTTAACTCGGTTTCCAAAATGCTTGAAACATAGATCAGCCAAATAAACAAATTCTTTCCTATAACAAAATAGAGTTATTACTGTTAACTTAAAATATAAATTACATATGTTTGTGGATTAGAAATTCATTTTAACCACTTACTGCATCTCGGGGCTTAACCAACTTTGAAAACGGTTCTCAAATTCTTGAGGATAGTCCATATGGTTCAACGTCACAAATGGTTCGATCCCTGCACGTACGCAGACTTTATATTTCAGTACAGAATATTCTATTATAGAGTGTAAAAGACAAGTATATTACCTTTACTAATGAGAGCATCAATTACTATGTTGTAATACTGTATTCCCGAATAATTAATCCCTCCAAATCTTCCTCCTGTCTTCCATAGAATAAGCTTTGGTTATTTTATCGAAATTACTCTTACGTAGATTCATTTCCGGTTTGTATATGAATCAGTCGATTGATATTTTATTATTCTATCATGCAATATGCAGCGTAATAACAGTACTGGTTAGGTAAGAAAAAAAGACCTACTTTTTTTTTCTGTAAATTAAAAAAAAAAAGAAAAGAAAAAAAAGACCTACTTGGTAAGACTCTAGACCAAGAAATTGAAAATCTGTAGCTCTTCACTCCAAGGGAAGTCATTAAGTCGATGTCCTCCTAAGCATGTGTAATTGGATCATTTAAACAAAAGTTAAAATCCTAATAGTTGACAAGAAAAAGACAAAATGAACTACACGAAAATAACCATAAACCGATGATACTGATCCACAGCAACATCTCCATTGCTCCCATCACGTATGTTCTCTGCATATTCCCCCATATATATGTATATATTTGTCAATCGATTAAGTGAATAACCAAAATTTTAAGGACAATCCAAACAGAAAATAAAATGGAAACCAAAATAAATTTCATAGGCTGTAAAATAAACAAATATGCATACCAGGGTGTTTATGTGTAAAGACATCCCAGTTGTTAAGACTTTTTCCATCGGTCAAGTACGCACCTTCGTACTACTTATATCAAATTCAAAACTAAAACAGATTTAAGTTTCGAAAATTGACTATGAAAAATAACTGATTTAAATTAAGCACCTGGTAAGCGGAAGAAGCTGTGCCAAAGAGGAAATCTGAAGGAAATGGAGATGAATGTTCTAATATGTCATGTGAAGTAAGTTCATGAAGGCCGTAAACATGAAACAATAAGCTCTCTAGTAAGATAACAATTACTAAAGTGGCTAGGCTTTGCATCTTTCTTGGTTCTCTTGTGCTTGTGTGTGTGTGTGTTTTTTTTTGTAAAAGTTGGTTCTAAGATTAAATGAGTGAGAGAGACGGAGAGCGATGTGTGTGTGTGTGTGAGTTTCAGCTTTCCTGTACTCTTATCTGTTTCTATGTTCTTATCTTATATTTCTATCACTATATATATATATATCTGTTACAAAAATATATTTATGTATTTATAAAGAAACATATATAAATATAGTCATGAGAAATTTTTAAAATTTGGGGAGACCATGATAGATAAAGGTGGTGGCTAGATTTTTTTCGTCAACGGTGGTGGCTAGATTGGTATGTGAAGACAATAACTGTTTCTTGAATAGATAAAAGACAACTTTGGGCGGATCAAAATATCAGGGAGACGACATATCTATTATTGGAATGTTATAAATTATAATTGTATTAAAATTCCGAAATGCACTGGATCCTTCTGAAAATTACAAATATATACAAACTAAAATAGGTTACACCTTTGAGAATTTAGAAGATCTCTATTTTTTCTAAGAACATCCCCGTCAATGAAGTTGGGAAGAAGGATTCACAACTTTAATTTTTTTTTTTCGTTTGATTTTTTTTTAAATAAACGGACCAATCATGAACTGTCAATGGGATCCGTGGAACAGTGATGATACAGGTTCAGCGAACTTGCATAATATAGGTTCATGACTTTAATTTTATTATATTAATTTTTTTGGAGAAATATGTGAACTCCTCTTACAAACATTTGATGAGGATACCCTAAACAGAAAAGAAAAAGAAAAGGTTAGTGGGGGAAGAAGGCTGAAGACACAGAGGTCCTCATCCGGTGAACACCGAGGGCCAAAACCTACCGATTCGAGGAGTAAAAAAGGATCAAGAAACACCAGATAGCAGATTCCGGGGGAGGAAACAACTACGAGCACAGGAAGAGACACATGATTCCACAGCGGCCCCTTCATAAATTATGAGTGCAATAACTACTTGCCACTCAAAGACTAGTTATATGTTCTATCATCTATTTTTCTTTTTTTAGTTCAACTTCAATTTTATATTCATTAAGAATAGTATATGGTTTGTAACCATGAGAAATTTAACCACACTTACATATAAAGCGATCATGAACACATAAACGACTTATACGCTACCCTCAAATCAAAACTTTAATGTAATTTTTATCCAGTAAGACAAACAATTTCTACAACACAAAAAAAAGCTATCTCTTAAACCACCTAAATTTGGCCACATAAAATGAATAACCACTATCATCCAAAACTAACTAGTACTAATAAGGAGTAACATTTAAAAACAAGCATTGATCACCATAGGTTGAGAGTTCTACATTTGAACCAAACGTCATCACCTAGCGTTGCGTCCAGCCTGGAACAAGCGTCATCAGACTCTAGTGACTCGTCCACACTGAAACAAATGTGAGCCTTGACGACCAGCAAAAACACGACAAGGTCAGAAAATATAGCGTCCAATATCATGTGTCTGTACCGCCGGTGAGACAGAGGAGCCATCGCCAACGCTGGGAAGTAGGATACCACCATGTACCGACTGTGAAGCTCCTCCCACCGGTTAACAACTCTGATGAGATGGGTTCTTCACGACACACCTGCCCCGAGAACCAAGAATAAGACCATTTTCCACCGTCTTCACGTCTCGTCTTCGTTTGACTCACCATCACTAGGATGGGAATATCCACGCCGAAGAAGGTTTTTCAACGAGTCACACGCCGTCGTCGAGGAAAAATTGCCAGAGATCTACAAAAGGGAAAATCAAATCTGGTGTCACACCTCCGGCTCTAAAAGCCGATCCCTTTCGCCACTGCTGCTCTGTTGTGCAATATGACCATATATATATATATATATATATATATATGATTTTGATAAACAAATTCACTTGAGATCTTATGTATTATAATCTCATCTTAAATTCTTCCATTAATGTTTAGGGTTATATAAATTAAATAGAAGATTATATCAATCCAAAATAAATAAGATTATATTTACAATCACCTAATAGTTTTCCTAAACACGTGGTCATTCTTGTTTTGTGATTGTTTCTAAGATAATCCATCTAATGATTATTTCCCTCGTGAATGTTCATTTCATCAGTTTGTGGCAAATTCATTAACTTTTTCTTCTAGCTCAGTGTTCTTCCTAAAAAGATCATTATGAATCCTTTTAACATTAAAATCAAGATTGACAATGTCATGATAATCATCTTTTTTCAAGTTCTTCACTTGAAGGTTTTTTTTTCTTCACTTGACCATTGACATACAAGCATTATTTATTTTGGAATCATCACTTATAACCTTCTCATAACTTATTTAACTTTAAACATTTATAGAAGAATTTAAGATAAGACTACTACATAAGATCAAAAGTGATTTTTTTTAATCAAAATCATTGATATATATATATATATAATCATATTGCATATTAGCAAAATCATAGAGAATTTGTATTTGGCAAATTATTTTTAAAAGTATATAAAATTCTCAAATTTTGGTAAACCATTTTAATTTTCAACTTTTAAACTGGAACCAATCTCGTATTTGCATTGACCAAACCATTTTATACACGTCAAAATCAACATTAAATGTTCATTAACGGAATTAACGATTTTACTTTCAACGTGTCTAAAATTGGTTGGTCAACAATAATATGTGATTTTTCGTGTTTGACCAATAGATGATGTATAAAATGGTATGTTTGTGAGTTCATGTTTTATGGCTTAAATTTGAAACTTATGGTTTTTTGTCAATTTTTCCTATGTTTTTTTTACTCAAATGTATATACTATTTAACTGCACCATTTTTATTCAGCTGTTATCTCAATGTTTTAGTCTCCTCATTTTTCAAGAACTTTTGTAGTAATTAAGATAGTCTGCAAATAACAATAAATGGTTCAATTTTATAAACTAAAATACTTATCCTTTCTTAGGTATTTGACCAATTATGTAAGATATTCTGGTTCCTAAAGTCTATAGAACTTCTTCAGTTAAAAAGAAAAAGTCTATAGAACTTCTTAACTACAACAAAGTCTCCTCATTTTTGAAGAATTTTTGTAGTCATTAAGATAGTCTGCAAATAACAATAGATGGTTCAATTTTATAAACTAAAATACTTATCGTTTCTTAGGTATTTGACCAATTATGTAAGATACTCTGGTTCCTAAAGTCTATAGAACTTCTTCAGTTAAAAAGAAAAAGTCTATAGAACTTCTTAACTACAACAAATGGATAGAGAGCTACAATTATATAGTCTGCAGCTAAACTCCAATAAACTTGAAGTGAGAAGAAGACAGACAAATCAAAGAGTTATGGTCTCTGTCAATTCAATCTTGGTTTGCTCTAAATATATCAAGGGAAAATAAATCATTTTAGACATTTTGTTATCTAGTTTTTTGTTTGGAACTTTATTTCGTTGTTTTGGTTGTAATAAATCATTTTAGACATTTTGTTATCTAGTTTTTTGTTTGGAACTTTATTTCGTTGTTTAGTTGGTTGTTGGTACGTTCTTTATGGCGTATTTCAATCTTGCAATATAAAACGATAAGAAATCCCTTCACACGTCAAAGTCTAGTCAGTGGGCCGTAATTTCTTGACCACATGGTTTGTATTGTGTTTTTTGATTTTTATCTCTTATTCACCAATACAAATATCTCTACTAGTTTAAGATGTTGAAGTTTCTTTAATGTTGTATATTATTGACGTAAAAGGGTTTTCATATACTTAACAGATAATTCATATGGATTATTTGATTAAAATATCTTTAAAAATTACGTGAAATTTGCAAAGAGGCAGTGTATGAGCTTTTTCAGTAAAAACATTTATTTTCCATAACATTTAAGTTCTGTCTTCACATAATCTAAATTTTATGGATAATCAAGTGATTAGAGCATATCTAATGTAAATTTTTTTTTTTTTCAAAATAGAATATAGTTCTAGATAATTTTACAAAATCTTTTTAAACAGCATAGCTCTTTAGGAAAGCTTTTAAATAGCATATATGCTCCAGATATTTTTAATACTTAAAAGTTTTCTACTTTAACATCATTAAAAAAATCCAGTAACTACAAAAGCTTTTAAATAGCAAAGCTGTGGATAATTTTAATAACTAAATTTTTTATACTTTAACATCATTTAAAATCTTTAATGGGCAATTCTCCTAAATAGTATCTTTTAAATTTCCATCTCAAAAGTAGCACCTCAAGCTAAAAGTCAAAATAACCTTCATTAATATAGTAGAAGACTTTAATACCCTACATATCAGTAGCAAATAAAGTAAAAAAAATAAAAAAAAACTTTTGTTTCTCTTTCGACATTCTCGTCAAAGATACCGGAGATGGAGACGAACACCGACGACGACACCGGTGACGACATCAGTGTTAAAATCACGGCGACGAGCTGCTGAAGTCTGGTGAGCATCGAAGCGGTCTCTATCGACGAATTGGTATATTTTATCTTTATTCATAATAGTTTACAAAGAAAGTTTTCATTCTCAATTCGAAAATTTAGGGTTTTTGAACTGAAATTTGGGGGTTTCGATTTGTTGTTCTTCAAATAATAGATTTGAGTTTGTTTTGTTGCTCAAATCGAACAGAGAGAACATAATCAGAATTACAAAGAATGTATCTCATAAAGCTTCAGTTACAGAACTTGGCTTACGGAAGAAGACGAGTTCGTGACCTTGTTTTTGGTAAGTCATTTTCAATCTTTGATGTTCCTAGTTCTTCTTTGATCAATGCTTTCTTGTAAGAGTAGTGGTTTAGGCTGAGAAGAATCATTTGTTTGTACTGAACACATAAATGTATTTAAAACAAAATTATATATTTTAAAACTTGGAAATCATTGAGCATGTTTAGGATGGGCTTAAGATTAATGAAGAGAATGCGATGTACTTAAGGAGTAAGCTATGTTGTGAGATCTTCGACCCGTTTATGGATAAAATTTTCCAGGAACCTTAAATTTTTTTTTTTTTTTTGTCG